AAAAAAAAAAAAAAAAAAAAGGACCTTTGAGGAGGTGGTAAATTTGCCGTCATCCCAGAGGCAAACAGTCTCATTAGACCAACTTGAATCACATGCCCTTCATTGAACCAATCACAGTGGCCTGGGCTGATTGGCTAGCCTTGCCAGGGGGAGGAGTCTGATCCATACAAACCTTAGGGATTGAGAGTTTGGGAGGTGCTGGTTCCCCAAAAGGAATAAAATTAGAAGGAGGACAGGTATAGACAACCCAGTGAGAGCTCTACCTCAAGGGCAAAAATAATTGCTAACATCTTTCCTATTTGCAGGCACTGTTCTAAGTGCTTTCCATACGGTAATGAATTTAGTGATAGAACAACCCCATGAGATTCTCTCATCTCCCTTTTACTGATGAGGAGCTTAATAACATTGAGGCACTTAATAACATTAAGTTATTTGTGCAAGATCAGAAAGCTCACAGGGACAATGTTGGATTTGTTCCTGAGCTACCAAGGACCAAGACATGAATTGGCCCATATAGGTACTCCACAAATATTTTATTCGTCCTTTTGTTCAACAAATGTCTTTGTTCAGCATGTATTTGTCTCCTGCAACTTGCCAGGCACTGTTCCTCGGTGCTGGGAATAGAGCGGTGAGCAGAACGGACCAAAGTCTGTGTCCTCAGAGAGTGCACATTCTCCTCATGGAGAGCTAGACAATAGACAATAAATGATAAGTGAGTGAATTGTCTGTTAGGTTAGGAGTTGAAAAGGGATATGGAAAGAAACAGAGCAGGGTAAGAGAGGAAGATAGGCTTGTGATTTTACAGGGGTTGGTCAGGGTAAGCCTCGCTGAGAAAGATTTGAACAGAGACTTGCAGGAGGTAGGGAGTGAGTGAATATTTGGAGAAGAGCATTCTAGGCCAAAGGATAAGCAGGTATAAAGGCCCTGAGGCAGAAGCATATCTGGCGGGATCCAGGAACAGCAGGGAGGCCATAGTGGTTGGAGAGCAGTCTGGAAGGCGGGAGTGGAAGACACAGACGAAGCAGGAGTGGTAGGAGAGGGTCCCCATGTGTGTTCTGGAGAACTGAAGAAATATGCAGAATATTTTCTAGAAATTCTGGCCATCTGGCATAATCATTCAGTATTATGAATAGATAAAGCTAGGGGCACCTGGGTGGCTCAGTCGCTTAAGTGTCTGACTTCGGCTCAGGTCATGATTTCATGGTTCATGAGTTCGAGCCCCGAGTCGGGCTCTGTGCTGACAGCTCCGAAGCCTGGAGCCTGCTTCGGATTCTGTGTCTCCCTCTCTCTCTCTGCCCCTCCCCCGCTCACATTCTGTCTCTGTCTCTCTCAAAAATAAATCAACATTAAAAATATTAAAATAGAAAAAAAGAGACAAAGCTTATTATTAAGAGAAAAAGAAGTGGCAGATTTCTACTTGGGATTTGTTAGAGGAATCTGGTTTCAGAGCAAAGGACTGGAGAACTGCTATTTGTAGAAATGGAACTTTCTTGGTGTTTTCCCTACTGGTGGGTGTCTAGGGGCACAGACCCTGGCCCAGCCCTTGAGAACACCAAGGCAGCCCCTGAGGCCAAGGCAGACACAGCATCTGCCCCTCCAGCCCCATGGCTGCCGTGTCTGCAATCTTGGCCCGTCTCTGTGTCATCAGGAAAAGGAACACAGATCTGGAAGAAAAAAGGAGCCATCTATGAGGGAGACTGGAAGTTTGGGAAGCGAGATGGCTATGGCACCCTCAGCAATCCTGACCAAGAGAAGGGAAAGTATAGGAAAGTATACTCTGGCTGGTGGAAAGATGATAAAAAATCGGTGAGTGGTTCCCATCATGCTCTGGGGTGTGGGCCGGGCTGAAAGCAGGCTGTGTGTGTGTGTGTGTGTGTGTGTGTGTGTGTGCAGGGGGAGCAGTCAGAGAGGCCTGGGAGAAAAGGGGGGAAGGGTTGAGGGAAGGAGGACAAGGGCACTGTGTGCGTGGGAGAAGGAAGGGGTGGGGCATCATCAAGGGTTCTCAGAACAAAACCCAGGAAACAGGAAGCAAGAGGAGAGGGCCCAGGGAGGAGCCCATGAAACCCTGTGGCTACAAAAAGCCAGCCAGGCTGTGTGGGGGCCAAGTCTCCTCCCCCATCTCCCCCACTCATTTCCTGGCTTTCTTTTCCCTGGGCATTCCTTTCTAAGAATCCCCCTTCTGTTGGGCCTGAACAAGAAGGGGGTAGGAAAAGTGGGAGCAAGAAAGCAAAGGCCACACCCTTGGCCACAGAACAAGAAAGGAAGGTCCTGGAGGTAGAAGCCAGCCAGAGGCATATCCTCAACCCATAAGTGCCTGACCCCTCACCATAGGCCATAGAGACAGGTAATAACACAGTGCTGCTATTGAACAACTGCTATTGCGATGCCAGAGTCACAGCATATGATGCTTCAGCTAACTCACAATATCGTCATCATCTCATCACTCATTTTATTCATAAGGAAACAAGCTCAGAGAGGTGAAGTGCCTTACCTGGGGTCACACACTGCTGGCAAGTGGTAGAGCTCAGGATTTCATGATCTCTGCTCTGAAACTGTTTACTGACCAGTAGGGAGAGAGATCCCAAAATAAACAATTCACATTTAATATGGCGTTAGGATAGAGGTTTTCACAGGGAGCCCACAGGAATTGAGAATTCAGGGCAGGCTTCCTGCAGGAGGTGATGCCAAAAGGTACAAAGACTTAAACGGAGGGAAAAAAGGAGAAGAGGAAGTAGCAAAGTGGAAGGAGCAAAGAATGTGTCAAACAGCAAGGTGTGTGTGCCCACAGGTAGGAGTGAGGGGGGAGGGGTAGGCGGGGGCCTTGAAGGCTATGTGCAGAATCAGGATTTTGAGGGGTAGACGGGCTGCTTAACCCAACTTCCTTAGGTGTGATCTGTGGGGAGTCCATGATTCTCTGTAGTTGTGGTGTTCATTTTTCTGGGGAGAAAGTCCATAACTGATCGGATTCTCTCAGAAGCATCTGTGACTTTAAAAAAAAAAAAATTTTTTTTTTTCAACGTTTATTTATTTTTGGGACAGAGAGAGACAGAGCATGAACGGGGGAGGAGCAGAGAGAGAGGGAGACACAGAATGGGAAACAGGCTCCAGGCTCTGAGCCATCAGCCCAGAGCCTGATGCGGGGCTCGAACTCACGGACCGCGAGATCGTGACCTGGCTGAAGTCGGACGCTTAACCGACTGCGCCACCCAGGCGCCCCAAGCATCTGTGACTTTTAATAGGGTCAAATCAAAGCTGAGGAGAGGGGGCAAACATGATCAGATGTGCGATGTAAAGATCCGTCTAGCTGCTTACTGGGGGATGCATGAGGAGGGGAGAATGGGAGAGTTGGAGGAAGGGGACCCGTGAGGAGCAGAGACGAGATACTGGGCTGCATGAAGGTGACAGCATAGGGGTGGAGGGCAATGGGACAACCCGGGGAGCTTTTTCAATTCACGACCATGAGCTTGGGATGTAGGGCTGAGGGAGGAAACAGGGAAGTAGCCAGGGTGTGGCTTGGGTGCCAGGGAAGATGGGGGTGACTTTCCTGGTGTTGGGGACGCCATGAACAGGGACACCTTCGTGCTTTCAGGGCTATGGGATTCAGTTTTTCGGACCCAAGGAGTATTACGAGGGTGAGTGGTGTGGCGACCAGCGCAGCGGGTGGGGCCGCATGTACTACAGTAACGGCGACATCTACGAGGGCCAGTGGTTGAAGGACAAGCCGAATGGGGAGGGCATGTTGCGCCTGAGTAAGTGCCCCGCCCCAATAGCCTGCTGGCCACGCCCCACCCACAACCCTTTCTCCAGCTCCAGCTAAGATGAACGACGGGACCAGATCCCTGCCCTCAAAGAATTTATATTCCTTTTTTCTTTTTTTAAGTTTATTTATTTATTTTGAGACAGGGTGGGGGAGGGGCAGAGAGAGAGGGAGAGAGAGAATCACAAATGGTCTCCAAGCTGACAGCACAGAGCCTGACCCAGCCTCAATTTCACCAACGGTGAGATCATGACCAGAGCTAAAATCAAGAATCTGACTCTCAACCGACTGAGCCACCCAGATGCCCTCCTGGGAGCTTATATTCGAAAGGGGGAGCCTAACAATAAACATCAACAATTAAGACATTTTCTTATGGTCCTAATAATCATAGTCTATGCTCACACAGCACTGAGCTCACTTAATCCTCGCTATGGTCCTATAAGATAGATACTCTTAGCCCGATTTTACAGATGAACTACTGAGGTACAGAGAGGTTAAGTGACTTGCTCAAGGTCAATGCAGTCTGTTAGTCGTTAGATCCAAAGTGCTAAGGAATATCCCTTGAAAATAGAAAGGTGTGTTGGATGACAAAGGAGTTGTGGACAGGAGCGATTTAGATTGACTTATGGTCAGGGAATGTCTCCCTCAAGAGGTGACATTTGAACAGAAGACTTGAAGGAAGAGAAGGAACCTGATAGGCATTGAGCTGGGAAAGAACAGAGGAAAGAGTAATCAGTCAAGTAAACTGCCTTAGCGTCAGGACTTAACCCATTCCCTACATAGCAACCAGCATGAATTTTTTACAGATTGGACCTGGTGGCTGCCCTGCTTTCAACCATCCGTGGGCAGCACCATCTGGCCCTCCTCACCTAATTGTGCTTCCCACGTCTTCCTCTGGGAATCCCTTCATTTCAGCCAGACTCATGTTCTTCCAGTTCCTCCCACGCTTTCTGCCTCAGGGCCCTTGCACTGCAGTTCTCTCTTCCCCGCAATAGAAAGAAGATCCTCCAGGTCTCTGCACTGTCTCCTCCTCAGAGAGGCCTTCCCTGTTCACTCCACTAAAGCACATTCTCCTCAGCACCTGCTTGCTTCCTTTCCTTTTTAGCGCTAGGTGTATAACCTTGGGCAAGTTTCTTTCTGTCGGTGCCTCAGTTACCTCACCTGTAAAATGGGAGTGATAGTAGTACCCACTTTGTAGGTGCTACGAACACGTCTGGCACATAGTAGGCTATCTATAAAGCTAGTGCCATTGTCTCTCCAGACTGTGAGCTGGATAAGGACCTGGACTGCGTATTTATTTTGTTCCCCACTGTTTCCCCAATGCCTGGCACATAGTAAGTGCTCTTAGTGAGGACACAGACCAGAGCTCAGTCTCCTGAAAACTCAAGATTCCAACTTCCAGTGAGATTTGGCCAAACTGAGGCATTGGGGCCACTGAGGAGGGTTTAATCCAGTCACTTCTGTCTGTCGTCCTCAATCCCCCAGGCACCCAGTGCTGTGCCTGCTTTCAGTGAGCATCTGATAGCCTGCATTTAGTGAGCACCTGCTGCGGCCACACATAGTGTAAGGGTTCTAAGTGCATCATTTCTAGTGGCCCAGACTCTGGAGACAGCTTGCCTGGGTTCAAATCCCACCTCAAGCTCTTACTACCTACGTGACCTCGGGCAATTTGCTTAAACTCTCGCGCTTTGGTTTTCTCATCTGTAAAGTAAGGATAAAAATAAAACTTAAGTAGGGTATTGTGAAGGTTCACTGAGGTTTGTGGAGTGCTTAGCATGGTGCCTGACACGTAACAGTAAGTGTTCAACAATATTAGAGCTCATACTTGGAGGTAGCAGGTGTCAGCAAATTACAATCCTTGAACCAAATCCAAATCCAGCTCCACGTACGTTTTGGTAAGTAAAGTTTTATTGGCACGCTGACTTGCTCATACATTTACACATTGTCCATGCTGCTTTCATGATTCGATGGCAGAGTTGAGTGGCTGTGACACACAAAGCAGAAAATACCGTCTGCCCCTTCACAGAAAAAGTCTGCTGACCTCTGACCTAGAGTTTATCCAGTATCCTTCTAAGCCCTTTCTGTGTTTTGACTTATTTAATCTCCACCGCAATCCTGTGAGGTAGGTGTTACTGTTATTCCCATTTTACAAATGAGGAAATGAGACAGAATGGTCGAGTGATTTGCCCGAGACCACATGGCTGCGAGCGTCTCAGCGGAGAAGTGCTAGCTTTATTATTACTCCTTTTGCAGCACCACCACCATCCGTTGAGCAGGAGAGTTAATTCATGATTAAGAGCATGGTCTCCTGGGATGAACAGCCCTTGGCTTCAAATCTTGTCTCTGACACTTCCTAGCTCTGTGACCTTGAGCACGTCAGTCAAACTCCCTGAGCTTTCAAGCTCCATCTGTAAAAATGGAGTCCGTTATCCTTCATAGAACTGTTTTTGTGAGGAGCGCGTGAGGTCAGAAACACAGCAAAGAACCATGCGCAGAATGAGTGCTGGAAAAACATTGCCTCTTCATGTCAGTAGCTACATTTTGTATAAATAGGAAACGATGTTGCTCATCCAAATTCAGGCAAGTAGTGGAGGCAAGACTTGGACCGGCTCTGATTCCGGAAGCCATTGACACCCCTAGGCTCTGACGTTTATAGTTCGGGCCTCCCAGACTCCAGGCAGCCCAGCCCAGGGCACTCTCAACATCTTGGTCTCCTTCTGGCTTCCCTGTGGGCACAGTGGCATGGGGAGTGGCCAACGTGGTAGTGGGGCCTGGTCAGGTGTGTCCAGCACCCAAGTGACCCTGTCCTTTCCCCCAGAGAACAGGAACCGCTACGAGGGCTACTGGCAGAGGGGCATGAAGAATGGGTCGGGCCGTTTCTTCCACCTGGACCACGGTCAGCTGTTTGAAGGCTTCTGGGTGGACGACGTGGCCAAGTGTGGCACAATGATTGACTTTGGCCGCGATGAGGCCCCTGAGCCCACCCAGTTCCCCATTCCTAAGGTGGGCAGCACCCACCAGGGCCCTGTGGCCACACCCAGAGAGTCAGAAAACAGTACCTCCCCCCCAACCGCCCACACACACCCAGGCACATCCAGCCTGGCCAGGCCTAGCCCAGCCCAGCCCAGCCAGGGAACAGACCAGATTTTGTTTTCAGTCGGGGCATCCCCACGGAGACTGGCAGCGCCCAAGGCAGATAGCACTTCCAGAGTCGGCAGCACCCCACAAGGTGGGCAGCACCCCACAGGATGGCGGCCTGGGCCTTCCATGCTCCCCAATCCAACCCCTTACTGCTTCCCTCCAGATCGAAATTCTAGACCCTAATGGTGTGCTGGAGGAAGCCTTGGCCATGTTCAAGAAGACAGAGGAAGATGAAGATTGATGCCAGGTGAGGGATGGGCATACTTTCCCCCCTCGGATGTGGTTGAGAAAGCTCCTGGGGTCTCCTTTGGCCAAGGGGCTCAGGGGCAGGACCAGAGGGTGGGTTTCTTTCCTCCTGCAATCCAGCTGGTTCTTTTTGGTTCCTCCCCTTCAAAACTCATTTCCTCAAAGACCAGGTCCCTCCTGAAAGCCCTTGAGTAAGGTAGTTTGCCCCAGGCCTGCACTTGCGCATCTGTCCTAGCCCCTCCTCGTGTGGGTGTTAAGTGGGGTTCCAGGAGAGGGTGATGGTACAGCATCTTTGGGTCGCCAGCTGCCACCAGCCCCTTGCCCCTGCAGAGAACACACCAGAGCTTCTGGAGAAATTCAAGCCTGTCGCCCAACTGCTCAAACCGGTGCGGCTTCTGCAGAAGTGAGTGGTGACTCGGGCACACCCTTGGCACCCTCAGAGGGCACCTCACTCCTCCCAGCACTGGATCATCCTCTCCCCAGCTGGCTTTGGGGATCCTCTTGTTACAACTTTCATTCTGGGCCCCCATTCCTGAGCACGGGAGTATAAAGAACCTGGTGGCTTCAGCCCAGGGCTTGCGGTGTGTGATTGTGGGTGGGGTGGAGAGGGTGGAGTTCTGGGAAGGACTTTAGGTGAGGAAGACAGACGTCCCCACGGGCTGCATGGATTTACCCAGGGGGAGAAAGAAGTGTCTCTAGGTCTCTGACCTTTGAGATACTCCAGGGAGAAGAGCCGGTGTCTGGTCACATTGGCCACTAAGATTTGGGGTTGAGACAGAACCTGGCTTCTCAACCTAACACAGGAACACTCAACCTTAGGATCCTGCAGGAGCTTTAAAAGCTACAGACACCCAGGTCTCACATTCAGACTCTGGTCTGTCTGGGGTGAGGCCTGGCCTTCAGAAAGTTCCCCAGATGACTCTAACATGCAGCCGGGGCCATGAACCCCTGACTTACTGGTTTTGTGACCCTAAGTGACCTCAGCTGCCCCATTTGTAAAATGGCACTTAGGAGATCTCACAGGGGTGTTTTTGAGGATTTGCTAACAGATGTAATAATAACAAATAAGTTGTATTGAGGTTAATTGTGAAGCTGAGATCCAGGAAGAGCTTTGCAGAATTCTAGACAACATTCTGCAAGATATAAGGGACCCTTACATAATGGGTAGGAACATGAGCTCAGCAGTCAGACTGCCTGGGTGTGAATCCCAACAGTGATTTATGAGCGGTGTGTTCTTGGACATGGCACCCAACCTCTCTGTTCTCTAGGTTCCCTCCCCTCAGACCCGGACAATAACAGTCCTTACCACCCAGGTTACCGTGGTTAACATGAGGATGAAATAAGGTGTGGTTCTAATCTGAGGGTGCTGTTGTCTCCCTTCCCTGCTGGGGGACACTTGGCAATGTCTGGAGGCATTTTTGGTTGTCACAACTGGCAGGGAAAGATATTACTGGCAACTAGTGGGTAGAGGTTGAGGATCCTGCTAAACACACTATAATATACTCTAGGGGCTCCCGACTTCAGCTCAGGTCATGATCTCAGGGTTTGTGGGTTCGAGCCCCACATCGAGCTCTGTGCTGACAGCTCAGAGCCTGGAGCCTGCTTCAGATTCTGTGTCTCCCTCGCTCTCCACCCCTCCCCTGCTTACACTCTTTCAAAAATAAACATTAAAAAAATAAACATTCTACAATAGTTTTCCAGCCCAATGTCCGAAGTATAACCCTGTAACCCCGTGTTCATAAAGCCCTCAGCAAGTGCCAGATATAAAGATTCAATAAGCAGGGACACTATTGATGTTCTTTCTGCCGTCTAAATCATAAGCAGGGTGGCCTGACCCTCGGTATGGTTCTCACACCAGGAAGCTGAGCCTGGCCCACTTGGGACACAGAACATTCACTCAGTGCCAGGCCCTGTGCTGATATGTGTCTCCTCCCATGACCCCTCAACAACCTATGAGGTGTCCTGCTATTATTAGTACCTTCTCAGAGGAGGAAACAGGTTCAGGGATGTTCACCAGTCACAAAGCTAGAAAGGAACTGTACTTAAACTTAGATCTGTCTGCTCTGAAGGCACAGAACAGTGGCAGAGCATATATAAGGCCAGCTTTTTTTCTTTTTCCACCAGAAAAAGTAGGGTGTGTTCTAGTTTATGTATAAAAATCTCTCTAGATAGGAACACAATAAATACACTGGCAACAATGGATGTCTCTGGAGAGAACTGGGAACCAGGGAGGAAGGGCAACTTTTCACTGTTGTATTTGGAACTTGTGAATGTATTATGTATCCAAAATATAAATAAAGCTGAAATTAAAGACTGTTCTTTAACTACCAGTGTTTTCCTGAGTTGCCTGGAGCACCTGGGGTGCTTGTTAAAAATACAGATTCTAGATCTACACAGACCAACTTGAATTGGAACCTCTAGGGGAAAAGCTTGGAAAGCTACATTTTACAAGCCAATCTGGTGATTTTTTGACTTAGGAAAGAAAATAAACCTAAGGGGCGCCTGGCTGGCTCAGTCGCTGGAGCGTGTGAGTCTTGACCTCGGGGTTGTGGGTTTCAGCCCCACATTGGGTGTGGAGATTACTTAAACATAATACTGAAAGAAAGAAAGAAAACAAAGAGGGGAGGGGAAAGGCGAGGAGGGAAGGGAAGACCTAAGACTGGAGTCGTAGCCCAGAAGTTAGTGCAGCCAGCTCCCAAGTCTTTGCAGAAGCAAAGAGGTGGCCAGGTGACGAGGCTGCATGGAAGATGGCCAGGTCTTCTCTGGGGAGCAACGGAGAGCTTTACACAGGGGGCCCTGCTCCCCACTACTCAGTCCCAGTCAGAAGGCTGTCCAAGGACAGGGTCTGAGAGTAGGTCCTGGTGCGTGAGATGCAGGAGAGAGGCAAGAAGCTGCAACAGGAAAAAGGAGCGCCCCTGCCCCACTCAGCCCACAAAACTGCTCTTATCGCATCTGTTTGCACAGAAGGACAAGAACCTGAAGCCACGCTTTGCCCCAACGAACTCTGACTTCACTCAGAGGACTTTGTTTTTATAAAATCCCATCTTGTATTGTGTTTCTGGGACCCACAGAGGTCTCAAACTCAAAGGCCCATGGTGGGGAGCCAGGCAAGTAACATAAACAAGGCTGGCCTGGTGTGAGACAAGAAGGAGAGGTGGGGTCTGTGGCAAACACATCACCTGGGGAAGAAGGCGGCTGCAACTCAGTTCCTTCTCACTGATGCTCTGCAAGAAGGTGGGACCAGTCCTCCTGCTGCTGCTGGATCTACCAAGTTCTTAAGCAAAGCCAGAATCCACATATATGATTTTTGTGAGAGGCTGGGCTCTGAGCCAGACTTTCTAGGTTCGAATTCTAGCCAATTACACTTAACCTCTTTGGGCATCAACTTTTGTCATCTGCAAAATGGAGATAAACATTCCTGCCAAAACATCCTGATTGTAATAACGGGAAAACGTCGGGGAAGCCAGGCTGAGGCGGCATTCTACAAAACCACAGGCCCAGACTCCAAAAATGTCGATGTCATAAAGGACAAGAAAAGGCTGTTCCAAATTTAAAAGCAACTAAAGAGACGTGACAGCTCAATGCAACACCCAGGTAAAATCACTGCTAGAAAGGACGTGATGAGGACACGTGGAGAAGTCAACATACATGTCGTTATTAAACAGTACTGCGTCAATATCAAATTTCCTTCATTTGATCACTGAACTGAGGTTATGTAGGAGAAATGTCCTTGGTTTTAGAAGGAAGTATCTAAGCATGAAGGGTGGTATCTGCAACCAATGCACATGGCTCAGGGGAGAAACATTCAGTTTCAGCATCTGGGCACCTGCCTCCTTGCTGAGGTCAAACGGCACTGTTCTGTCTTCTTGTTTCAGCTTTCCTAAACGAGTGTTCTTTTCATGTCGTCTATTTAGTGCCACGTTGTTCACATTCGGTGCTTTTCGTTGGCGATTTTGCTACTAATAAACTGTTAAGAATTTTTTAACTTTTATTTTAAGTAGGCTTTGTGCCAATGTGGGGCTTGAACTCACAACCCCAAGATCAAGAGCTGCATGCTCCACCAATGGAGGCAGCCAGGTGCCCCGGTGATTTTGCTATTTAAAAAGAAGGCGGTAGGGTGCCTGGCTGGCTCCATCAGTGAAGCACGCAATTCTTGATCTCGGGGTTGCGAATTCGAGCCCCATGTTGGGTGTAGAGATTGTTTAAAAATAAAAATCTTTAAACAAACAAACAACCCAGAAACACATAAAACAAGATTAACCTATTGAACGGCTGACAAAATATTGTGACCAGAGCCTCATAGGAACCACAGGAGCAATGGTTCAATACTAATTCAGTGTTCATGATGACTTTGTAGAACACAACTGCTATGAATGACAAGAATTGACTGTATATGTATTTCAGTTGCTATTCTTGCAACTTTTTTGTAGGTTTTTAAATTTTCAAAATAAAATGTTAACATAATTTCTCACTTAGAGGCTCACCTGACTGGGGTGCCAGAATTCATACCAGGCAGTCCAGACCCAACAAAGACAGACACAAGAGGTGTCCCTTATGAGTATATTTATGTGTATACAGACACACACACACACACACACACACACACACACACACACACACACACACGACACTGAATGGGGAGGGGGATCAAGACAGAAAAAACAAGAAGCATCCAAGTGGCACTGGCACAGGGGAGGAGGGACAAAGGGAGCATTTGTCCCCACTGTGGCTCCCACCGGCGGCCTCCTAACAGGAGGTAAACCCAAAGCTGGAAGAACAGGAAGTGCTTATTCTCTTAGAGGAAAGTTTCAAAGTGCAGTCATTTCTCTTAAAAAAAAAAAAATAAAGAAGAAGAAGCCTCTTCCCTCCACTCTCTGCCCCCCTGAAAAAAGCCCAATCCCTGGAGCTGGCTGTCCTTAAGGCTGGGGCAGGACGAGGTCGTGGGGAGCGGCGTAAGGCCAAAGATCTCAAGTGCCCAGGCCCAGAAGGGCTTATGCATAGTGGCTGCCGGGCGTCAGGGGGTGATCCCCTCTGTGGTCCAGCTGGTCCTGCAAGCGGGCAAACTCGGCCAGCTCGTTGAGCTCCTGGAACTGTCGGTCCGTCTTATGGCTGACCAATGAGCGGTAGAAGTGGACGGCAAAGACGATGAAGACCAGGCCAAAAGGGACCATGATGGTGGTGGAGGCGATGGCGGCGGCTTGGCCCGGAGTGATGCCACCAGTGCTGCTGACGTTGGCGACTGCATCGCTGGCCGGGGGCTTGCTGGTGGGCCGCAGCTGCCCGGGCTGCTTCTTGAGAGGCAAGAACTTGACCCAGCAGAGCAGCACCACTTCAGCCAGGAAGAGCAGCGTGCCGATGACCGTGGAAAAGGCCCAGGCCAGCTCGATGTGGCGGTGCATGCGCTCATGGGGTGACTCCTTGACCGAGTTGAGGTTATGCACGTTGCTCACCGCCTCGATGTTGGGCAGGATGCAGGTGCTGATCATAAGTGCAAACAGGTGCACGGCCACCAGCACCGTGGTGCATGCACTAAAGGCGATGAGCAGCCCGGGAGGGTAGTCATGGTCGGCATCTAGCTGTACCTCCACCATCGCCACCTAGGGGCAGGGGAGAGGCAGGCTGAGTGCCAGGATTGTCATGGCCCACAGAACCACACTCAAATCCTGGCTCCCCTCCCATCAAGCTCTCGGACCCTGGGCAAATCAACCTGGCCTCTCCAAGCCTCGGTTTCCTGATCTATATAACGGGGGTAAGAGCACCCCCTCACTTAGGGTTGAGAAAGTACTAGTGAAGATAGCAGGTTTGGAGCCCAGGCTGCCTGGATGTGAATCTCAGTTCTGCTATTCGCGGGCCACATGTCCTTGGGAAAGCCACTGAGCCTCAACTTCTTTATTTGTGAAACAGAGATATCACAGTAGTTCACAGGATTATTTTAACAATGAAGTCAGCAATGAACAAAGCATCCAGCTTTGGCTCAGGTCATGATCTCACGGTTTGTGAGTTCAAGCCCCGTGTCGGGCTCTGCGCTGACAGCTCAAAGCCTGGAGCCTGTTTCAGATTTTGTGTCTCCCTCTCTCACTGCTCCTCCCCTGCTCATGCTCTCTCTCTCAAAAATAAATAAACATTAAAAAAAAAATTAAAAAAAAAAATGAAATCAGAGTCCCTGGTACATGGTAAACATCTCCCAAATAGTATCCACTGCTCCTA